GGACATAATGACTCCACAGAGGAGCAAATTAAAATGGTTTTTCATGATTAGAAGGTTAAATGAGGTAAGGCTGTGGTAGGTAGCTGTGAGATAAGGGGTTTTGAGGAGGCAGAGCTCAAGGGACTTGCAGGTGATTGGAAAATTAGGCTGGCTAGACAGAGGGATGGGGCTTTTACAAATTATGGGCATCGAGGAAGAGTGAAATCTTCCTTTGGGGATCTCTGACTACTGGAGGCTTGTTCCACTGCCCTTACAGAGACTGTGACCTGTGAGGGCTCAGGGAGGAGACAGGGGCTGGCTTGGGGTTTTCTCTCCCCTGTGGGACATTCTGTGAAGAGCAAAATGAAGCTGATTCCACTGGGCAGTGGTAAACTAAAAGCAGACCGCTACAGTCATTCCCAGAAAGTTACTTGGCTTCCCTTGTTTGAACAAGAATCAGAGGCCAAGTCCAGCTTCATGGAGGCCTATCTCTTCACCCTGGACTTTAAGGCAGAATGGTTCTGACATCTGCCTCAGCTCTGCTCCTTTTTTCTTGTTCTGGATTTAACCTTCCCTGCCTCCTTGGCGGCTCCCTCCAGTGCCTGGAAACTAGGACCTAGAAAGCCAGGGGCTTCGTCTTCTTAATCTCTTAAATCAGTTCCTGCTCTGCCCACTCTGTTTTCTCCTAATATGAACCAATATTATTGCAGTTACCTAGACTGGAAATCTCAGGCATCTCTGAATTCCTGTCTGCCACTTCTATCCAATCAATAGCCAAGTTCTCTGCCTTCCACCTAGATTGAGTTTCTCATGTCTTTTTCCACCTTTTTATTCCCCCTGCCACTGCTCTGGTTTGCATCCCTCATGAACTCTGTCCTAGCTACTTGGCACAGCCCACTAACTGATTGCTGCATGCCTCTGGTTTCTCCCTGCTCCACAGCATCTTAAGCATTGATGACTGATTATAATGTTGTCTTGCCAGTGGGTTTCAGCCCCAGGCAAGTTCGCTATGGATTCAATGTGACCAAAGAAAATGACAGCAAAATGTTCTTGGGGTGAAAGGGTTATACCCAATTTTATTTCCAGATGGCAAGTCAGTCACTAAAATCCCGTTCACTCAGAGCAAGTCTGTATGCCACAAGCCGGTCTCTGCCATTGGACCCCTCTGTCCACACAACCATCCTCTGGGCCTCTCTGCTCAGTCGTCCCACACAGCCGTCCTCTGGGACTCTCTGCACAGTCATCTGCACATCCGTCCTCTGGGCCTCTGTCCTCGGCGCTGCCACCACTCCAACCTCTGCTCTGCTCTCCTGCAGCCTTGCAGCCCTGCCACCGTGTCACACCCAAAGCACTGGGTAGAGCTCTTTTTGTAGAGTCAACAGCCATGTATTGCCCACAGGTGTGCAGTGAGCTAATCAACCACGGCCAGGTGAGAATCCTGGCCACAGGAACTCTCATTTTATCCACAAATATAAAACAGTCACCTTTTAAAAATTAAACAAACCAACCCAAACTGCTTCGTTTTTCTATCACCTGGCAGACTCAGCAGACTTCCTGGCTTGGAATCTGAGGTAGTCCATAAAGTTATTTGTGATTCTGGCTTTTTCATCTTCTCTGTGCCCCAGTAAGACAAAGTACCATGTGGCTGTGAGTAATCCCATGTGTTTTTTGTCTCCTTGCTCTGTCCCCTCTACCTACAAAGCTCCACTCACACATCTCTACTGATTAAAACAAATTAATTATATCAAACTCAGTCTCAAATACATTTCTGCTTTTCCCCACCTGAGTCAGATGCAGCTAATTGCTCCTGCTCACATTCCACGGCCACACATTGGGTTGGGGAGTGGAGAGGGGCATGTTCTTACACTGCTTGGCATGAGTTCTTTCCTAGTCTTACTGTTAGTTTTTTGAATCATAATTTTGCAAATCCTGTAGCACAGGAAAAATTTCCTGCCTGTAGAAAGTGCCAAAGAAACAGAATAAAGATTGATAGTGAATGTGTCTATAAGAATGTGAAAAACCCATTCATTCATTCATTCATTCACTTAAGTGTGTGTTGGGTGCCTACTATATGTAAGGCGCTGTGTTAAGGACTGAGGATGCAGAGGTCCGTATGACACAGTGCATCCCAGTTCTCCAGGAACTCACAATTACTTGGAGGAAAAGTCGCAAAATAATTATGCAGTGAAAAACGTGCAACAGTAGAAGTGCCTTCAAGGTATGGAAGTGGCAGGACTGTACCTCTATCAGGGTTGACAGGGTGTGGTGAAGAGGTGATGTGGGCAGGGAACTGAGCAGTTAGGAAGGATTTCCTATAGTTAGAAATGTCTGTCTGTCTGGGTTTTGAACACTGAATAAGAGTTGTTCAAGGAAGACAGGGAAGTAAAGAAGGGTAGGGATGAAATGGAAAGATAATCCAAGGCAGCTGCCCTCCTTACTGTCAGACGCTGAGCACACGAAAGCAGCCTGGTCACCCAAGGATCAGTATTTTGTCTCCAAGTGAAATATCCTAAATGACAGAGCCCTTTGATCCCTTTGAAAGAAAAAGAGAGAAATAAAGGAACCTTCCTCTGTAACTGATTTTGGTTAAAAGTCATTCATTCTTCTTTTTTCTTGTTTTCAATGTTTTCTAGAGAAAGTCTGTGATTGCAGTGAGCTTCATAGCCGCATTCCTCTTCCTGCTGGTTGTGCGCCTTGTAAATGAAGTGAATTTCCCACTGCTACTAAACTGCTTTGGACAACCTGGTACAAAATGGATACCATTCTCCTACACATATAGGCGGCCCCTCCGAACTCACTATGGATACATAAATGTGAGGACGCAAGAGGTAAGACCTCAGAGGGTTACCTAGGATTCAAAGGTATCCATGGTAACAGCTTTTCATTAGGAGCAAGATGTCTTCCAATCACTGAACTTTCTCTTCCCCAAAGAGCTTCTTTGTGTCCCTGAAATTTTCTGTTTCTCATTCTTAGACATTTATTGACATGTGTCTAAAGTCTGCTGCCTCTTCTATGCCAAATCTTCTGATTCACTGGTTTCATGTGGAGTTGAGGAAGCAATTACCTATTTTCCTGGTGGTTTGTGGCATAACATACATATCTTTCCATTTAGAAACTCTGATCAGCATGAAAACTGTCTGTCTTTGTTTCCTGGAGGTCAACTGGTTGGGGATAGCTCTTTGTAGAACCGCAGAGAAGCATCTATACTCTCTAAAATTCTGTAATCCTTAGACCTGGAGCTAGAAAAGGCCAAGCTGAATTTAAAATTCTCAGTGGCTGCAGAGATAATGGGATTTAAAGAGTTTCCAAATTTAAAGGTGTTAAAATCATTTAAATCCTATAATCACTGAACTTCTAAATCTTTGTAGCCAATTGGTGGTAGAGAGTGAATGGAGGTATATTGACAACTAGAAAGCACACACTGTGCTAGCACTTTTGGCAGCAAGGATTTGTGTCATGGAGGGAAGTAAAAATAATGAACCTCACAAAATGTGTAAAGTGTATAGAAGTGGTTAATAAAATTGTCTTCATTAGTCACCTCTATGGAGTGGGATGAATGTGAGGTTAATATTCACAGATGCAAAGTCCTAGCCTGTTTGAAGTTGTTGGTTACAAAGGTACAAGTCACCAGTGTGTCTGTGTCATTGAGAGGAGTTTGGGATCAGATCCCATTGAAAGTTCATTTTGTAAAGATAATAGAGAGAAGAGTAATGCACAGAATGTCCTGAGAGTTATGCTTAGCATCCATGGAGGGATGTTGAAAGCTGGCTTGGCCCATCCTCTTTTGTAGCAATATCATACCTGTGTCATTGCTTCTGGTTAGAGTCTTAGAAAATTGTTTCTCTATCTGCAGGATTTACAGGCTTTTTATTAGACCTTTAGAGTTAAAAAGAAAAAGGTACCATTAATATAAATTCTTAGAAGCCTTGCTTGATGTTTATCCTTTAATTGGTTTTAAATTAGTTTTTTAAAAAATGCCATTGCTTGAATTTGTTGAGTTTCCTAATAAATTGATTACCTATATAAAAATGTACCTCTTAGGAAATGGTTTTCCTCACTCTCATCTCTTCTTACTTTTATTTCTGGCTGTCATTTAATATCCTATAACTCTGCTGGCCTGTGTTAATCATTTCACAAGTGCCTGTCACAGACACAAAATAAAACATGTGATGGAAGTGTCTCATGAATTATTCTCATGAGGGAAATCTCACCAAATATCAAAGACCCTTTCATTTGTTGAAACATCAATGGATTGGATTTTGGCATGTTAAGGGAAAAACTGACCTGGAGATACAGTCATTTAATTAGTCACAGTAACCAGGCTACCTTTGAAATTCTTTTGGCATAGTTTTTAATAAAATGACTTTTTCAAAAGATATTGATCATTATTTTGTTCCTGCAGAGATTATCTCTTAGGAGGAAGCATGATTGCTGGAAAGAGTTAGGCTTTAGAGGCACAGAGGCATGGTTTGAGTGCCAGTTCTGACACTTATAAAATGGGGATAAAAACATCGAGTGGCAAAAGATTATGAGGATTAAAGAGGACAAAACGCATGAGTAACAACTCCAAATTGGTGCTCAATGAATGAGTTTCTTTTGCTTCCCCTATACTTACCACTTATGAAATACAGTGTTTATGAGTAATACCTAAATACCAAAGTCCAGAGTACCAGACTTTGTATTTAAATTTTAAAGACTCTGGACTCAGGTCAGTAAACACATGAAACAGCTCTAATCTCCTTAGAAATTAGGGCTTTGCCAAGTAAAACCACAATGAGAAGGGAAATAAAAGCACAGAGAGGTATTACTATACACTAAATACCAGATTGGCAAAAACCTAAGAATCTGACAATACCAGGTGTTGGTGAGGACATGGAACAAAGGGAACTCTTGTGCACTAGTAGGGAGAGTGTAAATTGTGGAACAAACACTTCAGAAAAACCACCTTTCCATTATTGAGTAAAGTTAACGATCCACATACCCTGTTCTCCAGCATTTCTAATCATCAGTGTGTATCCACGATGTATATTCACTGGAGGTACTGCGTGCAGGCTGTGGTCGGCATGGGTGGCATGTATGGCAGTGTTGTTTGTGACAGCTAGAACCTGGAAGCAACCCAAACATCTGTTAGTAGGAGAGTCTATTAAATTGTGCTACATATGCTGGACTACCATACAGCAATGAAAGTGAAGACACTGCAGCTATGTGAAACAGCATGGATGAGTTAGACATGAACAATTTTGATCAAAAAAATGCAAGAATAATAGAATACACACAGTGGATTCCATTTATATATCACAGGAAGAGGCAAAACTAAATGATGTTGCTTAGAGACATACATAGGACGTAAAACTAAAAAAGGAAAAAAGAGCAAGGAATTATCATCAAATGAAAGGGAAGAGCAGTTCCCTCTAAGAGAAAAGTGTGGTTTGTGATCAATTGGGTTTCTGGGATAGCACCAGTATCCTATCTCTTGATCCAGTTGGAAGTTACATGGACGTTCGTATTCTAAATATTTATTAAGTGTACATTCATGTTATATGCCTTTTCCCCGTGTCTATTTCGTAATTTAAAAAAAGAAAGAAACATGTATTCAGAGTGCAGATAGGGTGGTTATTGACCAGGAGTCACACAAAACATTTCACCTAATTTAACAGCAAGAAATAACTAAAAAGAAACCATAGGGCATTAAGCTATCTAAAGCAAAGTAGAAATATTTGAAATAGGCAATTTCATTTTATGCAAACACTAGCAGATACACAGGTAACTTATTTCTCTCACCTATGTGTAATAGAAAGAGAGGCCCTATATACTGTAGCATGAGCACTGGGGATGAGCAGAAAATTTTGCATGGAATTTGAAAAACAATGTTACACTCAAAGAAAATAATATTTTTCTCCAAACTCAAACAGTTGTAGGCTAAATTAGGAAGAAAGCAGAATTAGTGGTGCTCTATCTCCCTTCTCACTGATTTCATCTTTCCCTCTCACAGTCCCATCCCATTCCCACCCCCATGACTATGCTCCAGTTTTACTCTGAAATGCTCTGTGATTTGGTCCTCACCAGATAATGGTTTCAAATGTGCTCTTTCCCAGAGATGGTTGCATTAAATAAGACTTGGGAAGGAAAAGTCTTCAAGAGCCAAAGTAATAGAGCTAAAATGATAGGTAGTGGATTTGATGTTTTGGGCAAATAGTTTCAGTAGTGATCCTCAGATATCACTTCAGAGGTAGCCACCCACTCCTATGTTCCTGTTCACTCTCTCCTAATCTGGAGAAGTGTCAGTAGCCATGGCTGAGCTGAGACAAGTGGTTACCAAGCTGATCTATTTATTTTAAGATCTTAGTCCTTGAAGTTTTCTCAGAAGTTTCTCAGAAGAGAGCACATACTTTCTAGGAACAACCAGGCTTCCAAAAATTTTTTTTTAACATGTAGACATGCCAGCAGTGATTTCCAGACCTGGAACATATGCAGACATGATCCTTGTTGATGATAGTTTTATGGCCCAGTGCTTCAGCTTGGCCAGACATTGCACTAAACAAAGATTTTACGGGCAGAAACATTTCCAAGAAAAAGTGTCTTTCCGCTACTGTCTAAAACAGAAGGAGAGGTGGGGGATGTGGGAAGGGCAGAATTAGGTTGAAGATGTAGTGGACACTGGAGAGCTGGGTTGCTTGGGGGTAAAATCTGGTTCTCTGGTTATCTTTGAAAATGAGAGGAGTTCTGGTTCCTTTGGCTTGGAATAAGTGGAAGTATAGGCAGTCTCATGCATCTGAGGTGGTCTCTCCTGGAGGCCTCATTAATTATAATAATTTACTCATTATAAATATAATAATTACTATATAACAAATTGCAATAATTGATAATTTACAAACTATACCCAGTTCATGCTCAAACTCATTTTATCAGTTCACTTAATTTTTGAATGATCTGTTCCCAAGAGAAGTACAAGAAGGAGAAGTTCTAGTTACCTGTATTTCATGTAATAAAACTGACCGGGTGGCTGCTGCAGAACGCTGTCACAAACTTAACACAGCTGTTCCTGGGACTTTTCCTTTTAATTCCAACTGTGGCCCTTTTAAATGTGCCTTCACTTTAGCTGTGTGCCTTAACTCTACAGTCTTGCTCCAGGGTGGTAAAGAAAATGCAACACTTGGCATTTTTTATGTTAAAAAACCAGTATTTTATTTATAATAAAATCTGAATATTTGTAACTGCCTCAGATGCATGAGACTGTCTATACTTCCACTTATTTGTAACCCTGAGGAATGCAGGAAGGGTACAGGTGGACTTGATTTTATTGCAAATTGTTGGAGTAATTTCTTCCTGGTTCAGACTCATAAAAAGGAACATGTTGTGAAAATGATGAGAACTATTCTAGAGGAGTTAAACTGAAAGACTTTAAATACCCCTCCCACCATAATAATTACAATCTAAATATAGCACAGTTGTTGAAGGGCTCCGTCCTTTCCCCACCTCCCTTCTGGTTCTTGCCTTTGGGAGCGGGAAGTCTTGAGAAGAAGAGAAGCAAAGTGAATCACTAACTGGGAGTTTGAAGCTGTGCAAACTCCTGTTGGCCACAGAACCCCAGACTGCTCATCAGCATTCAGGTTTGAGCCTACAACAACCGTGAGGTGGTGTCAAACTGAAGCACGGACAAGGAGAGATTGAGATTTTGCAGTAGCCCTATACTTCCCCGTGCTCCACCCCCACTTTAATTCCTGACCCATGAACAGCTAGCTGCTCAGACTTCCCCTCTCATGTCATTACTGTGTTGGTAATGCAACCCCCCATCCTAACAGGTCGAATTTGGGGGACTCCACCAACAGCTCTGCTATAACAGAGTTACTGTGTTAACATTTGACCATGGATATAGTAAAAAGCATTTGACACCCATACATCTGTCAAAAAAACTATACCTATGCTTGGGGATATCCTTTGAATTCTGCTTTCTCCTAATGCAAATTTTAATGATTCATTTTAAATTAATTAATTGTGGCAGATAAAAAAGGTGTATAAGACTGAGGTACTGCAGGGCTTGGTTCAAAGTAATCACTGTTTCTCTCTGTTGAAATCATGGCAGCTTTTGAGGAAAGAGAAAGAAATGAACTCCGGGCTAGATTCTGTATGTAGTTTCTAGGCAATGAAATCAGTCACTGTGTTGTCTTTTTTGTTGGGTGACCCGGTGGGAGGACATTGCTTAGAGCAAGCAACCTGCAACTTATTTGCATTAACTACTAGATAAGAGAATCAAGCTCTGGTGATCAATAGGATGCCACAGCTAGATCTTCCTCGTGGTCAGTGGAGGTGACAGATGTCTCTTTCAGACAGATGTCTGATAAGAGAACTGTAACATGCTGGAGCTGCAGAGCATTTCTGATATTTGGGTAGAGGACCCTTTCAGAGGGTGCCTAAAGATGTGCTATGGGAAAAAGCACAGGATTTCCAGAAGGTAGCAATCAAGAAGGATGCATATTGACTTGTTAAATTATTTAATGAGGCCGAAATACGCCTCTTTAAANAAAAACGTGCAACAGTAGAAGTGCCTTCAAGGTATGGAAGTGGCAGGACTGTACCTCTATCAGGGTTGACAGGGTGTGGTGAAGAGGTGATGTGGGCAGGGAACTGAGCAGTTAGGAAGGATTTCCTATAGTTAGAAATGTCTGTCTGTCTTGGTTTTGAACACTGAATAAGAGTTGTTCAAGGAAGACAGGGAAGTAAAGAAGGGTAGGGATGAAATGGAAAGATAATCCAAGGCAGCTGCCCTCCTTACTGTCAGACGCTGAGCACACGAAAGCAGCCTGGTCACCCAAGGATCAGTATTTTGTCTCCAAGTGAAATATCCTAAATGACAGAGCCCTTTGATCCCTTTGAAAGAAAAAGAGAGAAATAAAGGAACCTTCCTCTGTAACTGATTTTGGTTAAAAGTCATTCATTCTTCTTTTTTCTTGTTTTCAATGTTTTCTAGAGAAAGTCTGTGATTGCAGTGAGCTTCATAGCCGCATTCCTCTTCCTGCTGGTTGTGCGCCTTGTAAATGAAGTGAATTTCCCACTGCTACTAAACTGCTTTGGACAACCTGGTACAAAATGGATACCATTCTCCTACACATATAGGCGGCCCCTCCGAACTCACTATGGATACATAAATGTGAGGACGCAAGAGGTAAGACCTCAGAGGGTTACCTAGGATTCAAAGGTATCCATGGTAACAGCTTTTCATTAGGAGCAAGATGTCTTCCAATCACTGAACTTTCTCTTCCCCAAAGAGCTTCTTTGTGTCCCTGAAATTTTCTGTTTCTCATTCTTAGACATTTATTGACATGTGTCTAAAGTCTGCTGCCTCTTCTATGCCAAATCTTCTGATTCACTGGCTTCATGTGGAGTTGAGGAAGCAATTACCTATTTTCCTGGTGGTTTGTGGCATAACATACATATCTTTCCATTTAGAGACTCTGATCAGCATGAAAACTGTCTGTCTTTGTTTCCTGGAGGTCAACTGGTTGGGGATAGCTCTTTGTAGAACCGCAGAGAAGTATCTATACTCTCTAAAATTCTGTAATCCTTAGACCTGGAGCTAGAAAAGGCCAAGCTGAATTTAAAATTCTCAGTGGCTGCAGAGATAATGGGATTTAAAGAGTTTCCAAATTTACAGGTGTTAAAATCATTTAAATCCTATAATCACTGAACTTCTAAATCTTTGTAGCCAATTGGTGGTAGAGAGTGAATGGAGGTATATTGACAACTAGAAAGCACACACTGTGCTAGCACTTTTGGCAGCAAGGATTTGTGTCATGGAGGGAAGTAAAAATAATGAACCTCACAAAATGTGTGAAGTGTATAGAAGTGGTTAATAAAATTGTCTTCATTAGTCACCTCTATGGAGTGGGATGAATGTGAGGTTAATATTCACAGATGCAAAGTCCTAGCCTGTTTGAAGTTGTTGGTTACAAAGGTACAAGTCACCAGTGTGTCTATGTCATTGAGAGGAGTTTGGGATCAGATCCCATTGAAAGTTCATTTTGTAAAGATAATAGAGAGAAGAGTAATGCACAGAATGTCCTGAGAGTTATGCTTAGCATCCATGGAGGGATGTTGAAAGCTGGCTTGGCCCATCCTCTTTTGTAGCAATATCATACCTGTGTCATTGCTTCTGGTTAGAGTCTTAGAAAATTGTTTCTCTATCTGCAGGATTTACAGGCTTTTTATTAGACCTTTAGAGTTAAAAAGAAAAAGGTACCATTAATATAAATTCTTAGAAGCCTTGCTTGATGTTTATCCTTTAATTGGTTTTAAATTAGTTTTTTAAAAAATGCCATTGCTTGAATTTGTTGAGTTTCCTAATAAATTGATTACCTATATAAAAATGTACCTCTTAGGAAATGGTTTTCCTCACTCTCATCTCTTCTTACTTTTATTTCTGGCTGTCATTTAATATCCTATAACTCTGCTGGCCTGTGTTAATCATTTCACAAGTGCCTGTCACAGACACAAAATAAAACATGTGACGGAAGTGTCTCATGAATTATTCTCATGAGGGAAATCTCACCAAATATCAAAGACCCTTTCATTTGTTGAAACATCAATGGATTGGATTTTGGCATGTTAAGGGAAAAACTGACCTGGAGATACAGTCATTTAATTAGTCACAGTAACCAGGCTACCTTTGAAATTCTTTTGGCATAGTTTTTAATAAAATGACTTTTTCAAAAGATATTGATCATTATTTTGTTCCTGCAGAGATTATCTCTTAGGAGGAAGCATGATTGCTGGAAAGAGTTAGGCTTTAGAGGCACAGAGGCATGGTTTGAGTGCCAGTTCTGACACTTATAAAATGGGGATTAAAAACATCGAGTGGCAAAAGATTATGAGGATTAAAGAGGACAAAACGCATGAGTAACAACTCCAAATTGGTGCTCAATGAATGAGTTTCTTTTGCTTCCCCTATACTTACCACTTATGAAATACAGTGTTTAGTATGAGTAATACCTAAATACCAAAGTCCAGAGTACCAGACTTTGTATTTAAATTTTAAAGACTCTGGACTCAGGTCAGTAAACACATGAAACAGCTCTAATCTCCTTAGAAATTAGGGCTTTGCCAAGTAAAACCACACTGAGAAGGGAAATAAAAGCACAGAGAGGTATTACTATACACTAAATACCAGATTGGCAAAAACCTAAGAATCTGACAATACAAGGTGTTGGTGAGGACATGGAACAAAGGGAACTCTTGTGCACTAGTAGGGAGAGTGTAAATTGTGGAACAAACACTTCAGAAAAACCACCTTTCCATTATTGAGTAAAGTTAACGATCCACATACCCTGTTCTCCAGCATTTCTAATCATCAGTGTGTATCCACGATGTATATTCACTGGAGGTACTGCGTGCAGGCTGTGGTCGGCATGGGTGGCATGTATGGCAGTGTTGTTTGTGACAGCTAGAACCTGGAAGCAACCCAAACATCTGTTAGTAGGAGAGTCTATTAAATTGTGCTACATATGCTGGACTACCATACAGCAATGAAAGTGAAGACACTGCAGCTATGTGAAACAGCATGGATGAGTTAGACATGAACAATTTTGATCAAAAAAATGCAAGAATAATAGAATACACACAGTGGATTCCATTTATATATCACAGGAAGAGGCAAAACTAAATGATGTTGCTTAGAGACATACATAGGACGTAAAACTAAAAAAGGAAAAAAGAGCAAGGAATTATCATCAAATGAAAGGGAAGAGCAGTTCCCTCTAAGAGAAAAGTGTGGTTTGTGATCAATTGGGTTTCTGGGATAGCACCAGTATCCTATCTCTTGATCCAGTTGGAAGTTACATGGACGTTCGTATTCTAAATATTTATTAAGTGTACATTCATGTTATATGCCTTTTCCCCGTGTCTATTTCGTAATTTAAAAAAAGAAAGAAACATGTATTCAGAGTGCAGATAGGGTGGTTATTGACCAGGAGTCACACAAAACATTTCACCTAATTTAACAGCAAGAAATAACTAAAAAGAAACCATAGGGCATTAAGCTATCTAAAGCAAAGTAGAAATATTTGAAATAGGCAATTTCATTTTATGCAAACACTAGCAGATACACAGGTAACTTATTTCTCTCACCTATGTGTAATAGAAAGAGAGGCCCTATATACTGTAGCATGAGCACTGGGGATGAGCAGAAAATTTTGCATGGAATTTGAAAAACAATGTTACACTCAAAGAAAATAATATTTTTCTCCAAACTCAAACAGTTGTAGGCTAAATTAGGAAGAAAGCAGAATTAGTGGTGCTCTATCTCCCTTCTCACTGATTTCATCTTTCCCTCTCACAGTCCCATCCCATTCCCACCCCCATGACTATGCTCCAGTTTTACTCTGAAATGCTCTGTGATTTGGTCCTCACCAGATAATGGTTTCAAATGTGCTCTTTCCCAGAGATGGTTGCATTAAATAAGACTTGGGAAGGAAAAGTCTTCAAGAGCCAAAGTAATAGAGCTAAAATGATAGGTAGTGGATTTGATGTTTTGGGCAAATAGTTTCAGTAGTGATCCTCAGATATCACTTCAGAGGTAGCCACCCACTCCTATGTTCCTGTTCACTCTCTCCTAATCTGGAGAAGTGTCAGTAGCCATGGCTGAGCTGAGACAAGTGGTTACCAAGCTGATCTATTTATTTTAAGATCTTAGTCCTTGAAGTTTTCTCAGAAGTTTCTCAGAAGAGAGCACATACTTTCTAGAAACAACCAGGCTTCCAAAATTTTTTTTTTAACATGTAGACATGCCAGCAGTGATTTCCAGACCTGGAACATATGCAGACATGATCCTTGTTGATGATAGTTTTATGGCCCAGTGCTTCAGCTTGGCCAGACATTGCACTAAACAAAGATTTTACGGGCAGAAACATTTCCAAGAAAAAGTGTCTTTCCGCTACTGTCTAAAACAGAAGGAGAGGTGGGGGATGTGGGAAGGGCAGAATTAGGTTGAAGATGTAGTGGACACTGGAGAGCTGGGTTGCTTGGGGGTAAAATCTGATTCTCTGGTTATCTTTGAAAATGAGAGGAGTTCTGGTTCCTTTGGCTTGGAATAAGTGGAAGTATAGGCAGTCTCATGCATCTGAGGTGGTCTCTCCTGGAGGCCTCATTAATTATAATAATTTACTCATTATAAATATAATAATTACTATATAACAAATTGCAATAATTGATAATTTACAAACTATACCCAGTTCATGCTCAAACTCATTTTATCAGTTCACTTAATTTTTGAATGATCTGTTCCCAAGAGAAGTACAAGAAGGAGAAGTTCTAGTTACCTGTATTTCATGTAATAAAACTGACCGGGTGGCTGCTGCAGAACGCTGTCACAAACTTAACACAGCTGTTCCTGGGACTTTCCCTTTTAATTCCAACTGTGGCCCTTTTAAATGTGCCTTCACTTTAGCTGTGTGCCTTAACTCTACAGTCTTGCTCCAGGGTGGTAAAGAAAATGCAACACTTGGCATTTTTTATGTTAAAAAACCAGTATTTTATTTATAATAAAATCTGAATATTTGTAACTGCCTCAGATGCATGAGACTGTCTATACTTCCACTTATTTGTAACCCTGAGGAATGCAGGAAGGGTACAGGTGGACTTGATTTTATTGCAAATTGTTGGAGTAATTTCTTCCTGGTTCAGACTCATAAAAAGGAACATGTTGTGAAAATGATGAGAACTATTCTAGAGGAGTTAAACTGAAAGACTTTAAATACCCCTCCCACCATAATAATTACAATCTAAATATAGCACAGTTGTTGAAGGGCTCCGTCCTTTCCCCACCTCCCTTCTGGTTCTTGCCTTTGGGAGCAGGAAGTCTTGAGAAGAAGAGAAGCAAAGTGAATCACTAACTGGGAGTTTGAAGCTGTGCAAACTCCTGTTGGCCACAGAACCCCAGACTGCTCATCAGCATTCAGGTTTGAGCCTACAACAACCGTGAGGTGGTGTCAAACTGAAGCACGGACAAGGAGAGATTGAGATTTTGCAGTAGCCCTATACTTCCCCGTGCTCCACCCCCACTTTAATTCCTGACCCATGAACAGCTAGCTGCTCAGACTTCCCCTCTCATGTCATTACTGTGTTGGTAATGCAACCCCCCATCCTAACAGGTCGAATTTGGGGGACTCCACC